ATTTAACGTGACGTCAGCAGATTTAACGTGACTCGAGGTGACGTCAGCAGCTCGTTCAGGTGTCTTCCCTTTGGTCTGAACAGTTTAACGTCACACAAGTAAAAGTTCAAGTTTTCCCTCGAGGTTGGTCTGATCAGGTGAGGAGATAAAACTTCTCAGTGTTTTTTAAACTGTTTGGTAAATTTTTGCATTTTTTCTGTCTCCAGGAAACTTCAGCTACTACGATTCCAAACTTTAGTAAAATATCTGTGAACTGACTGAGCTATGGCTATTTTCTGATCTCTAAAACCAACTGGCTGTGGCGGCCATCTTGAATTGGATTGGCTACAAAAGTTAATCAGTTGTAATTCAACATCCAGTGATTTAATCCTGAACGTTTCATCAAAGTCTGAGAGGTTGATGATATATTTTGCTAACAGACACACATGTGCACACACTGACATGATTGTCCATCTTGTGGTGAAGCTGATCAAAGCAGCAGGCTGACATTTGAGGCTGAGCAGGAACAGAAGTGACTCAGACTCGTTCCATCTTCTCATCCTCCAGTTTTTGAGTTTTAATGTTTGTGTGTGTCAGTAAAGTTCATAACGTGAGGAACCGTTCTCACTGAGCTCAACTCCAACAGGAGCAGTTTGGAGCTCATCTCCTCAGGTCCTACCTCATCCTCAGGTTCTCCATGAACTGCTCCATGGTCACCTCGTCCAGCAGAACGAAGTCCGACTTGCCGAACTCCAGACCCTCCAGCTCGGCCATCCCTGCGCTCCTCGAAGCTCAAACAGAAGCAGAACGTGAGAGCAGGCGAGGAGCTCGGAGCCTGAAGCAGGAAGAGAAAGGAGGACGTGAGAGTGGAGGCGTGGCGAGATCTTTGGTGTGCTCATCACAGCTGTGGTTGCAAGCTGCAGCACGTCACCCAGAGGCTCAGAAAACGTTCACGCCTCTTCTGCATCCTCCTCCACGCCTCTTCCTGCCTCAAACATCTAGACATCTAACATGTCTAACCCGCCGCTCGCTCACTTTTATCTTTGGCTCCAGAAACAATTTCTGACTCTGACACGTGACCAATGTTCACTTTGGTGCCGCGAGAGGCCCCGAGTCCCTGACAGCTGTTTTATTTACAGACCAACACACGTTTGTTGTCGAAAAACAAACAACAACAACAAAGGTCGCTGAAATTATTAGAAATAAAAAGACAATAAAAATTAAAACTTTTCAATTTGGTTCAACTGAATTATTTTAAAACATGAACTTTACGTTGATCAACCTGCTGAGATTCTGTAACTCTGAGACCTCTGCACCTGTCCCCAGGTCTTCTGTCCACCTGTCCTCAGGTCTTCTGTCCACCTGTCCCCAGGTCTTCTGTCCACCTGTCCTCAGGTCTTCTGTCCACCTGTCCCCAGGTCTTCTGTCCACCTGTCCTCAGGTGTTCTGTCCTCAGGTGTTCTGTCCTCAGGTCTTCTGTCCTCAGGTGTCCAGGTCCAGTCCTGATCAAACTGCTCCAGCTGTCTCAGGTCTGAAGGTTCTTCTCCAGATGTTCAGCAGGGTTTAGATCAGGACTCTTGGGTCCAGGGTTTAGTTCTGGTCCAGTCCTGGTGTTTTGGGTCGTCTTGGAGGACCCATGAGCTGAGACTGACACCGAGCAGAACATTTAATCCAGAAGGTCTTGATAGTCTTGAGGTTTCATTGGACCCTGCACAGATCCAGATGCAGCACAGCAGGACCAGAACAGAACTGGGCCTCCTCCATGTTCCACTGTAGGTTCTGGTTCTTTTGGGTCTGTGGACATGAAGCTGATGGGCTCCAGTTGTCTCCTCTGTCCAGAGGACAGAGAAGACAGTCTGTTTTCTGATCTGTGTCCTCGGTTGTCTTCCATCAAGTCCACTCTGTCTCAGGCTGATGGTGAGGTCTGACCCTGATGACCTTTGACCTCTGATCTCTTTGAACATCTGGACTCTCTGGCCACCGTTCGTTTTATCTGCCTCTTCAGTTTGTCGTCACTTGTCTTCTTGTGGACACGTCCAGGGAGACTGTCTCCAGTCCCGTGGACCTTTAACCTCCTGAGTAATCTGCAGCTGCTCTCAGAGGAACATGGAGCTGATGGAGACGATCTGATTGTCTTTACCTTCAACATGTCAGTCGTCTCTGAGCTCCTGAGACACTCCGTCCTCAGCTTCCTGTGGTCCCTGGTCAGTGTTACACACCAGGATACCAGTCGGCCCTGTGACTACCTGTCCCCCTGTAAACAGCCTGGACACACCTGAGCTCACCGCTCATGAAACATCATGTTCTGGCACCAGAAGGTCCGACTCTCGATGGTGTGTAAGGTTAGTTTTGAAGAGAAGATCCTGAGCTCTGTAAGAGTTTGGCTGTGTGACCTTTGACCTCTGTGGGGTTTACTGAACACCTTCAGCCTTACAGCGGAGACACCGAGCGGACGAAGACGTAACTAACTCCTAGTTTTAACGGGCAAACTGAAGGTGGAATTATTGTGATGGGATTTACCTGTATAAATAAAGGTTGATTGATTGATTGATTGATTGATTGTGTAAAATTGTTAAAGTTATGCAAACGCTCTGATTAAAGCTCAGATTTTTATTTTACAATAATAAACGTGGATTGGATTCAAGCAGCTATGAGTTCATAAAGTCACATATTTCTGTTTCATAAAACACCATCAGTTTATTTTAAACAGTTGTGCAGGTGAGTCTGAGGGAGGAGGAGCCACAGCGCCTCCTGCTGGACAGAGGAGGACAAGCCTGGACCAGAATATAAAGATTAAAAAATTATATTTTACTTTATTTACAAATAGTTTCCTCATAGAAATACAGATTTATTCAGTTCCTTCAGAAACTTTGTTCTCCTTGAAATCTTCAGTAAACGGGCTCAGTTTTCTTCTGCTCATTTTAGCTTTTAGCTACTGTTGTGCTACTTTTAGATTATAGCTACTATTTAGCTAATTTTAGATAGTTTGAATTAATTTAGCTATTGTTTGCTCATTTTAGCTTTTAGCCAGTGTTGTGCTAATTTTAGCTACAGTTTACTTAATTTTGCTTTAAGCTAGTTTACTCATTTTAGCTTTTAGCCACTGTTGTGCTAATAGTTTTAGTGACAGTTTAACTCAGTTTAACTCATTTTAACTTGTGTAATTTTTCTAATTTTAGCTTTTAGCTACTGTTGTGCTCATCTTAGATTATAGCTACAATTTAGCTAATTTTAGCTAGTTTTACTTCATTTAGCTATAAAGTACTTTGCTCATTTTAGCTTTTAGCTACTGTTGTGCTAATAGTTTTAGTGACCGTTTTACGCTTTGTAGCTCATGTAATTTTTCTAATTTTAGCTTTTAGTTACTGTTTTGGCTTCTTTTCTGCACGTTTGCATTTTTCCATGTCTGCGTTCAGACGGTGTTTTTGTAAAAAGCCGTTTTTATCAGTTTAGATTTAGACAAAATGTTTAAAAATCTTCAACTAAAGAGACAAACCAGAAGTTTTCAGGTTCTGCTTTTTTGTTGCAAATTTCTGATAAATTTAGCTGTTAAAAGTAAATCTGATCAGACCTGAGCTCGAGTCGTCCTCCACCTCCTGCAGAGCGCTCACCTTCAGCTGATGTGGTTCTGGAGGTTCGGCTGCTTTTCAGATCCTCATCAGAACTTCCTCTGGGTCTCTTCCTCCTCACACTTCCTCTCTGCTGCTCCGGCCTCAGAGGCGTCACATCGACAACACAACACGGACACCAACCAGTCACATTTAATTTAATTAAATTTAATTCATTTAATCAACAAACACCTCAGGAGTGAATTCAAAAGTTCAACATTTAATAAAACAAAGAACTCGTAAAAACTGGACGAGTTGGAGTCAACTGGATTCAAGATGGCCGCCGCAGCTGTTTAAAGCTGGTTTTAATCAGTTTAAACTCATTTTGTATATTTATATTTTTGTTCAAGTTTAAAACAGAAACAGATGATTCTGTGGTTCTGCAGGAAAAATGTGAGCAGTTATCATCTAACCTGTTGTACATAGCTCTCTGAACAGCTGACATTTGAAGAAATGACCAGACGGTCAAAGTGGATCAGAACCGACAGCTCCAGAACTTCAGCTCACCGTTTTATAAACGTGTTTTTGAAATTTATGGGTAATGAAATAAATGTGGATGAGGAGAAAGCAGCAGAAGCAGCTAGCTGTGGCACTTCCTGTGCAGCCAAGGGGTGCTATAAGCTAGCTGATTAGCCATTAGCTTACAGTCACATTTTAACTGCATTTCTCCAAACTGAGGCCACAGAGAGAGCCATCTGCAACAGGTAAGATATTAATTATTCGACATGCTTCCTCATGAATAACCTTCGACTCCTCATTTAAAAACCTTCATTTTGTGTCTTATTGTAGCAGTTTAGGATTTTAGAAACTAGAAAACATAAAATATGCCCAAAGATAAAGAATATTTGATCGTTTTTCTTTCTTTCTCTTTTTAAACTTCTGTTTTTATTTTTTTCTTGGAATTAAACTAAAACTAAAAACACTTAGTTTTCACAGGAGAAGACAGATTTTGTCCTTCTTCTGGTCTAGTTTTTCTGACTGTCTCTTTTCCCGGGACTCGGACAGACTCGCAGGTCCTGATGGGGGGGACCCAGCCGCTTCACCTGCAGACGGACCGACGGCGCCTCCTCCTCCTCCTCCTCCTCCGGAGCTCTTCGGACCAGGCAGCGGCACCGAGCTGCTCCTCCCTCTGGAGGTTGTCGCCACGGTCCGTCCTCTGGGTCCTGGTCGCTCGACCGGCTTCGTTTTCTTCAGACTAAAACTGGAAAAAAAACGTTTAGTTTTCCCGGGAGAGGACACACGTTTTTCCTCCTTCTGACTCCGTCTGCTCGGAGCAGCAGGTCCTGACGGGGAGGAACCAGCCACTGCGCCTCCTCCGGAGTTCTTTGGACCAGGCAGCGGCACCGAGCTGCTCCTCTTAGCCACGGTCCGACTCCTGGGTCCTGATTGGTCGATCAGTTTTCCCAGCAGCCTTTGCTTCAGCTCGTAGCTGTCTTTGGACGGACCGATGAGGTGCAGTCGGTCCTCCATCTTACAGACCAGAACTGACCCAGAGATGTTCTGGTTTTGCTGAATCCTCTCTAACAGAACTTGTCCCCGCTGGTTCAAGTCCCTCAGAGGAACTTCCTGTGTCCTTAGAGACTGGCTCAGATCATCCAGAAGGTTCTGCAGCTTCCTGGACCTCCGTCCCTGAAAACTGATGATGGTGCTCTCACCATCCTCCCTCGTCATAATTTCTACACCACGGCCGGTCCGGATGCTGTTGAGCTCGTTTGTCCTGAGCTGTTGGGCGTACCTGAACACATCAGAGTCCACGATGATCGACTCTCCAGACGCCTGGTGGTCCACAGACGAGGAGGTCCTGTAGTCCTGGGCGGCTGGATGTCTCTGTGAGGAGGAGGAAGGAGGCTCAGATCTTCCTCCATCAGGATCACTTTCAGTGTAGTGTTCAGAACCAGCTCCAGGAGGAACCAGAGGAACAACGAGCTGGTCCAAATGGGCCTTCAGAGCTTTCAGCTCCATAAAATAACCCTGAACCTGAACCTGGCCTCGGCCCAGATCCTGAACTTTAAAGCCATGTGACCTGATCGTCCTCTGCACCTCCGCCCGATCCAGGAAACGATCCATGAGGATCGTAGCTTCAACCTGGACATCCATCTGAGAACGACGGACACAAAGAAGAACACGTTTAGAACCTGTGAACAGAACCACTTCGTTCAGCAGAACAAACAAACGGATCAATTCACTGAAGATTAATTTCATGACCGAACTAAAGCAGATTATTTTTAGGTTATAAACCATTTACTACAAAATGATACAAACAAACACGTCGATGACATCTGCATCACGACACGACCGATCTGTGATCATCAGTAAAATCATCTGGACCATGTTAGACTCGTGGTTCCTCTACAAAGATCAGGAAAACATCAGTGCAGAGAGCAGGAAGATCCGTTTTCACTTTCATTATTTTATAAAACGGAATTTTAAATGTCCTTTTGCGATCAACAAAGTACCAAATTTCTTACAGAACCAACCAAACAACCTTCCTACCAAGCAAACTACACAAATGACCTACTAAAGGCATCTGCTGTAGGACCTTTAATGAACAGGACCTTGGTCTGATTAGAAAGTCTGATTGATCCAGTTCAGTCATAAAGAAGTGGGATATTGGGATAAATTAGTGGGAAAATAAAAATGATAAACTGGGATAAATTAGATAGTGGGATATAAACAGGAAGTCGGTCCCAGAAGTTCTTCCTTTGATTTTATCCTCAAATGGTGTCCCCATTGAGTTTGTTGATTCCTATAAATATTTGGGTATCTTGGTCGATTCACATCTTTTAAGCTCCACGTGTTAAACTTGGTAAAGAAACTGGAAGTTAAACTGGGTTTCTTTTTCAGAAACAGATCCTGTCTAACTCTGAACCCTGAGGAACACCTTGTATCTGTGACTTTCCTTCCCTCCATTGATTACGGTGACATTATTTACATGAACGCTCCTACAAGAACCTGCAGATGTTGGATGCTGCAGATGTTGGATGCTGCAGATGTTGGATGCTGTCTATCATGGTGCACTAAGATTCATAACTGGCTGTAACTACCGTACCCACCACTGCACCCAGTATTCACTGGTTAACTGGTCACCATTACCTTCACACAGACTCTCCCACTGGTACATCTTCATCTTTAAATCACTTCCTGGTCTGCTGCCTTCATACATCTCCTCCTACATGTCTCTGTGTGAGTGCAGCTACAGCGTGCGCTCTCAGGACATCATTACCTGCAGTGTTCCCTCAGTGAGGACTGAACTAGACAAAAGGACCTTCTCCTACTCCGCTCCTGTTTCCTGGAATATCTTACAAACAGACCTGAAGCTCTGGACCTTTGACCTCTCTAAGTGGCTTTAAGAATCTGTTGGACTCCTGGCAGGGACCAATGCAAACATGTTCCTGTTTTTAGATTCTACATTTGACTTATAATCTAGCTGTTTTTTTGTTACTTTTTAATCCCATTTTATTTTCACTTTTTATTCTCACTTTGTACACATCCTTTATGATTGTCTATTGTTGTCATCACTCTTTATTAAAATCAGGTGTCTCTTGTAAATTTAGTAACAAAAAGAGAACTGTTGATGATCCATTTAAAATTGAGGCTGTTGAGATTTGTAGAGTTAATGAGATTAAATTTTTGGGTGTAATCATTGATGAACAGCTAACATGGAAAAATCACATAAATTCTGTAAGAACAAAAATATCTAAATGTATTGCACTACTATACAAAGTCAGGGAATTATTAAATGATAAAGCTCTGTACATGTTGTATAACACAATCATTGTTCCACATTTAATCTATTGCATTGATGTTTGGGGGAAAGCGTGTAAAACTTTTACAAAACCTATTTTCATTTTACAGAAAAGAGCTGTAAGAATTATCACCAGAAAGCATTACAGTCACCCATCAAGTACATTATTTTATCAACTGAAGTTATTGAAGTTCCATGATTTGGTAGATTATAGTATTTTATCAGTTATGTATAGGGCTCAAAATAACACATTACCATTAAATATCCAAAGAAATTTTGTTAAAAGACAAAGTTGTTACAATCTTAAGGGGATAGAGATATTTGTCAAACCAAAATTCAGAACTAGTCTGAAGGGAAGGTCTACCTCAATCCAAGGAGTTGGATTGTGGAATGTTCTAGAGAGTGATGTGAAAAATGTCAAGTCAATGTGAACATTTAAGAAAAAGATCAAAGCTGAATTGTTAAAAAAGTATATATGAAGTAGCTTAGTGTGTGTTTTGTATTAGAATTAGAAAAATTAGAAAGTTATTCATTTTGTTCTGTTACTTGAAGATTATTATGTCTGAAATAATTGTTTGAAAAAAGGGGCAGATATAATAAGATTTTTTCTTCTTTCTGCTGCCTTTCATTTTAAATCTTTTGTATCTTTTTATATTGTTATGGAATTGTTTTGTACTTTTTTAAAATGAATAAACTTTATACCATACCATACCATAAATGAGTCCCCGAGGCTCAATGGGATTAACCTGTATAAAGATTAAATTAAAAAAAGTTATGTTTAGCCTGCAGTGTGGATCCTAGATCTTTATAGTGTGTTTATTTTTATTCTAGCAACATGTTTTTTTTATAAATGTTAAATCAACAGTTTTGTTTGCTCTTTAACCTTTGATCGACCCGAGCTTCTTTAAACGTCTCACCGGAAGTGAAAGTACCTGTCAAGGTGTTTGTGGTTTTAGATTTATTTTACTGAGCAACAATACTCATAAAACCAATTAAACTTTAAATAATAACAATTTTAAAGGCATTACAGGAACAAAAACGACGTAAACCTTTAACTTGTAAAAGAAGAATCTATGTCCAACCTTCAAACAGTCCGTGATGTTTACAGCTCTTAAACTTTACTAGTTCTAGCTTCAGTCTGCGCATGCGCACAAACGCTCCGATTGACAAGTTTCACTTTCAAACTGAGCATGCGCACAACATGTGGGAGTAATTTACTGTTTATTACCTTTTTCCAATGTTGAAAACTTCAGTTCTGCACATTTCTCATGAAAAAAAAGGTTAAAACCGAAACCTGTGACGTCATATCCGTTATAGACCCACAAAAGTCAGAGTCAGAGATTCTTTATTGTCATTCGCACCTCATGTGGTACATGTGGTGGAGCGAAACTATGTACACAGGGTCCCAGTTACATCCAACAATAAAATGTATAAGAAAAACAGTAATAACATCTAAGATATGAACTAAGAAAAACATTAACTAAATATACACTAAGCACTCATAACAAAAGTAAAACTTATACAAAAAAAAAAATCTGACTTTATTTTTATTTTTTTAATTTTTTAAAAGACATTTAAGATTTTTTTCAGATTCGTGTTTTCTTTAGGCTGCACGAGAAACAACTAACTGAATTCACTTCGAATAGATTTAATGTCTATCTGAACAAAAACAATATTAATAATTTTTAATCCTCGTATTTTAATCCAACTAGAATCGGATAAAATAAGAAATGTGTTTTCATTACAAATTATGTTAGTATTAAAATAAAAACACTTGACTTATTATATATATATATATATAAATAAATATATATGAACGTTTCTGTTGTGACTCGTGCAGTTCCTAACTTTGCCACCAGATGGCACCAGCTCCTACAGCTGACATTTTTATTGTTTTGAAAGTTTTTAATGGTAAAAGGGTGTCAGCAAAGGTCAAAGGAAAAGTTTACAAGACAGTGGTGAGACCAGCTATGTTGTATGGTCTGGAGACAGAGACATGGACAAAAAGACAGGAGACAGAACTGGAAGTGTCAGAAATGAAGATGTTGAGGTTCTCCTTAGGAGAGACAAGGATGGAGAAGATCAGGAATGAGATCATCAGAGGTACAGCACAGGTTGAACAACTGGGAGATAAAGTTGGAGAGGACACACTGAGATTGTGTGGACATGTCCAAAGGAGGGACAGTGGTATGGACATGTCCAGAGGAGGGACAGTGGGTATATCGGTAGAAGGATGTTAGAAATGCAGCTGCAAGAAAAAGACAAAGAGGAGACGTATGGATGCAGTTAGAGAGGACATGGAGGTAGTTGGAGTGAGGACGGAGGACACAGAGGACAGAGTGAGGACATAGGACACAGAGGACAAAGTGAAGTGGAGGAGGACTCACTGTGGACACCCCTGAAGAGAGAAAAGCTGAAAGAAGTTTATTGTCATGAAGCGAGTCAGAAATATTTGAGAATAGTTTAGTTTTTTTAAGTTCTTGTTTGTAAATAATCCTCAGATTTACTTTTTTTTCCCCAGCAGACGATGAAATAGATAAAATAGATAAAATAGATAAAACAGATGAATAAAACAAGTTGAAATGAGTTTTTAGATTAAAAAACCCAACATTTATTATTTCATATACTTCAACATATTGTACGTACATTTATAAACAGTCGGGATGAATTACGTCACTTTCATTTTTCAAACTAAACTTTTTTTAAAGGATTTAACTAAAAACACTTTGTTTTTCAAATTCCTTGAAATATTCCAATAAAAGTAATAAAAGGCAACAGTTTATTTAATTCAATAAACGCATTAATTTTTTGATTACATTTTTTAACATTAAAACTTTATTCCAGTGGACTTTTGTAAAATGTGATGTGAGAAAACCTTTGTGCAACTCGACCATCAGAGTATTTACTTCAGCTTTTTATACTTTCATTGGAATTGGAGTATTTTGTTTATTTACCGACTGTAAAGGAATCCAGCAGCTGGAGCAGATGTGAAGAAGTCCATGCAGAAAGAACGGGTTTGAAACTTCTTTTGTTTTATATAAAACCAGTCGATGCAAACAAACGGAGCACAGTGTGAAATAAAAAAGGACAAGGCTGGAAACACGTGGTCTGAAGCGGAAACCTTTGGATTAAAACAGATTATAAAACACGAGAACAAACTGCAGCGTTCTGCTTCTATTCTTCGTCTGAAGATCCCTCCCAGTTCACTTTAGCTGCTTTCCTTCCTGCTGTGAAGAACACGGAGGATCAGTTTTAGACCGGACCCCTCAGCATCAACAGGAAGTGAAATTAAACCAGTACCTGGTCTGGACTTCGTCAGAGCTGCCGCTGACCCTCCAACGTCGCACCTCTTCAGCAGGACTCGAGCCGTTTTGGTCACCTGAGGGTGTTTGAGCGTCGGAGCCGTCGCCTCGTCCTCGGAAACGTTGCTCGACTCGTCTGAAACAAAAAGGTTTTAATGAAAAGTCACACTTATCTCATCGAGTTTGCTCCTGTTCTACATCACTTAGTCAAGGAGTTCCTCAGGGTTGAGTGTTTGGAGCGATACTTTTGACTTTATTTATGTCAAGTTATTAGGCAGGACGGGATCAACACTATTTATCTCTAATATTTATCCATGAGACATGATGAACCCAAGCTCGTCTGAGAGACATAAACACCTGGATAACCCCTAATGTTCCACTTTTAAACTCGGAGGTTGTTTCATGTCTCCAACAACCGTGTGATCGATCACTGAAGCGTTGGTTTGAACAGAGTTGCTGTCGCCGCTAATTCAGAACTCCATTGGGATTCTGCTGTTAACAGCCACCGGGCCGCGCATCGAGGCCAAGTACTCCTCTCTCCGTTGTAGAGGTAAAACAATTAATTTCTGATATATAATGGAAGCAGAATTGTGCACAAATGTCTGATATATGCACCCAGTTGTTGTTTGATGCATTAGTTATATTTTTTGTGTGTTTTGGTACTTTCTGTATTGACGCTAAAACGGTAATGAAGTTTTGAATGTCGGTAAAATCAATTGAAAAGAATGTAGCTACACATAACTTGATGCATGCTCAATAATCAGGTAGGAAAAAAGTTAAGTCAGATCCTCTGGATGGGTTAAAAAAAAATTAAAAATTGTTGAAATGTTTCATCTTTTATCCAAAGGACTTCTTCAGTCTGAGGAGCTGCAACAAACTCAGTCTTATAAACAGCAGCTTCTCATAGTGGATCAGTTTGTTGACATCCAGAACCAGCTGCTCACATGATCCAGGACGATCGGCCTGACAACGGCTCGTTAGTGCCCTGATGGCCGCTTGTTATTCGCAGGGGGCTGCGTGGTACTAGCAATAACAACAATGTAGTTTTTAATTGTAGTTTTTTGTGGAGTACTTGATGCGGTCCAGCCTCGCCCAGACTCCTCCTCCAGCGGCCCCCAGGTAAGTTCAGTTTGAGACCCCTGGTGTAAAGTTTGAAATTTCCTTCATGTTCAAAGGATCTCCTGGATTATTGAGCATGGACTTTGTTGTTCAAAGGATTATATTTAAGTGAGCCGAGGTTTTAGTGTCAGTCCGCTGAGACTTTGCTCTCGTTGGGATGAAACATGAAATATTTTGTTGAAGGGTTTTAAGACGACCGTGTCAACAATCATCAAGAAGTTTCTTTATTTTAAGTAAAACCGACACAACTCATGTAGTTTCTGTCCTGAGACTTGGTCTTTACCTGTTGGAGGTTTTTTTCTTGGACTTTTTGTTTTCTTCTTCTGAGTCGATGCTTTCGTTTTGTTTGTCTTTACCGGGTGAACCAACGGTTCGTCGTCGGAGCTCCCATCACTCGTTTCTGCCAAACAGACGCAGCAGAGACGTTCAGGACGTATTCGTGGTGGGACACTCGCCGAACCTTCAGGCTTCCTGTTGGATTACCTTTTGTCTTTTTGGCCAGCCGGCCTCGAGACACGTTGCTCTTCTTCGCGTTTTTCTTCCGGGAAACGAGTTTGGTCAGAGGAACGTCGTCTTCGTCCGAGTTTTTCTCTGAGGATGAAGAGTCTTTGAAAAGCCAGAGAAGTTAGTGTTTGAACAGCGTGAGGTTAAAGCGTGAGCGCTGCTCAAGAAGCTGCCGACCTTTCTGTGTTTTTGCTCTTCGTCCTCTCCTGTTGGACGAAGTCGTTTTGTCTTTGGGAGCGTCCGATCTTTTCTTCGTTAAAGTCGCCAGAGGCTCGTCGTCTGAGCTGTGCTCGCTGTGCGTCTCAGCGTAATTAACTAAAACAACAAGTACAATTTAATCACAACAACAAAGAGGAAGAACTGCTTCGTGGTGTTGGACCTACCGCTCTTCCTGGCCGCGTTCCGTTGGGATTTAAAACCTGGAGTTGCTTGTTTAGGCGAGGCGAGAGAAGCTCTTCTCTTCTGCCGTGGCTGAAGCTTCTTGGCAATTTCAATTAAAGGTTCGTCATCTGAGCTTTCGTGTTTATCTGGCGACGCTGTGGAGACAAACGGATGACAGGAGTGAAAATCAAAACGTAAACAACAACAACCCCAGACAGGAAGTGATCTCACCTTCCCTCTTCCTGTTAGCAGATTTTTTTGGCGTCACTGAGCTCCGTTTTTTTGCTGGTTTGGACGTTTTGGCGATTTTGATCAGAGGCTCGTTGTCAGAGTCGCCGTCAGTGTCGGGCTCTGAAGAGACAAATGTTTAAAAAGTTTAAACAAACCGAAGCCCCGCTGAAGAACAGGGGTGACACGGAGTAAAGGAGCCACCTGGTTTGGAAGGAGCAGCTTTCTTTTTGCCTTTTTTCTTCTTTATCTGCGGCTCGTCGTCCGAGGAATCATCTATGAGAAAAGATCCAAACGTGACGGTAGAAAGAATTAAACCCGGGTTAAAACAACTCCGTGCATCTTTTGTTCCTCTTCACCTTTGTTTGTTTTGGAGTTCGTGTTGGACGTCAAGCTGTGGCCGTTGTCACGAGAACTCTTGTTGAGCTTTGGCTTCTCAAGCAGCTTCGACAGTGGGATGAAATCATCTTCAGAGCTGGAGTTGTCCTTGTCTGATTGGTCAGAAAAATGAGAACTGATCATTATAATTAACATAATTATATATATATTATATTAATATAATTATAATTATTACAGATGGTTTATAGATGTCGGTACGTTTTAACACCTGGAACAGCTGACTCAGAAATATTATAGAAAATAACAAGAATATTGTGATAAAAGTGAGAAAACTAGTCTGAACCTGTTTAAAATATTCTGTTGGTCTTTATGCAGTTTCTCCCGACAAAGACCTGGTTCTGACTGGACTGAGCAGATCTGAGTTCCCACCAAGAGAAGAAGGTCCGTTCTTTACACAAATCTGTTACTTAGCCTTGGATGAGTTCTGGTCCATCCCTTGAGTTTAGTTTTTAATGTATGAATGATTCAGAGTTAAAAACATTCCTCACGTGGAGGGAAAACGGCAAAGAACAAAGAAAAAACTCTGAAGAACCCAAGAAGCCTTAAATGTTGATAAAGACCACATGAAGGTCTGGATCATGATGCGGGGGGATAAGTATCAAAAGATGAGGACTGGGCAGCGCTGTGCACGTGTACACGCTGACTGGTTTATGTGGGACTCACCTGGTTCACCTGCGGAGCGACGATCAGCCGTGTCCGAGTCAGCGGAGTCCATTGTGACGGTCAGCCACCCCCTTCTTTAAAAATATAAATGATTTACAGCTTCAGTGCGTCTGTACGTTCACCCGACAGCGTCACCGGGACACAGAGACGGTTACCGCCACGCGAAAATACAGACAATGGACAGAAAACAATCGGTTTCATCGACTCGCCTCTTTCTCTTCCGTTTAGGTTGTACGTCGGCGCGTGTTGATGACGTAACGCACACGAGCCCTCAGGGTCGCTTAGCAACAAAACTGAACTGAGTTGGCTTCAAAATATTTATTACCAGCTAAATTTAGCTAACTAGCCTATAGGTGGCTACATTAGTGAACTATAGCTAAATTAGTATAACAGCCGGTAAATGTAACTAACCTGCTGGTGGCTAAAATGTTATCATAGCACCTAAATTTATTTAATTATAACTAGCTAACTAACCCATAGTAGCTACATTTAGCATAAATTGCTAAATTATTATGCTTAGATATATTTAGCTAATTATTTTTTCATTCTAATTAAATTTGTTTTACAGAGAGCACCTTTTCAGGTGAAACTACGTTTCTTTTTATTATTTTTTTTACATTTTATAATAGCCTAAAGGCGATAACTTGGACATAATAAATATTTTACAACTGTGTGGAATCAGAAAGGGCATCGGGTATAAAACCTTTGACTAATCAAATGTGAACTGAGAATGGGGAGCAGGTGGAAGAGAGCCTGGGGAGATGGTCAGCTCTGGAGAGAAGATTGGAAAGAAACCAGTAGAATGAAAGACGGAGCCTGTGTGAATGGGACGGAGACAGGTGGAACAGTGGATCCAGTTGCTGACTGGACTTATGTTACAATTTCTAACGAGCAATTTGTGTAGAAAACAAGCGGACTTTAAAATTTAATTTTTTTTTAAAGCATCCACGAATAAAACTACTTTACAGAGTTATTAGCTCAGTTTATTACACACAGACAAGATAAATAATCGAGCACTAGAACATCAGACAAACAGGAAGTGACGCACAAGCCTAAACGTCATTCGCTGACACGAATCACAAAACGTTGTTCAACTCCAAACCTCAGGAACTTTATTGTTCAGAGAAAACAGCAACAGTCCAATCTTTGAGTTACAACTGGGTTTTCCTGAAAACATCCCTGAGAAAGCAAAGGGGGAGGTCATCTGGTTCTGAAAACACACCACACAGATTTATATTTATTTTTTACTGCTTTAAACCAAAAGTGCTAAAAACTAAGTAATCATCAGTTAACGTCATCGATCCTAGAAAACCACAAGAACTAGTTTGAATCAGGACGATTGGATCAAACTTCAGTAATTTACTCAGATATTCTGAACGACCCTGTTAATCAGTATTAATCAGTTTATTCGTGATTAGAAGCCTGAGAGTTTACCGATGTTCCACGCAGCCTAAATCCCCTGAAATCAAACCACTGAATTATCATTTCACTGAAACAGGATCCTGCTTTTCCACTCAGCTGCATCTTGAGCACAACTTTATATGACATAAAAAAATGAGCGCTTCAGCTCGAATCTGCAGAAAAGGTTCTGGAAAGTCCACCTTGACCCCGCGACAGCGCGGGCTCTTCTCACGGAGCGATTCGCGGTACGAGTCCGGCGGTGGCGTGCTGGTCTGTTCGGGTCCGGGAGCCCCTGCTGGTGTTTTACAGAGATGGGGACAAACCTAAACGGCAGCCATCTTGCTGGCCTCTCTGACGCCACTGAGGTAGGCTCCTGTCACCGTCTGAGGGAAGTGTCGGTTTGTGGCCTGAAGAGCAAACAGTCACATTAAAGTTGTGGAAAAATGAAACGTTCCAGACTTCTCTCGGTTCGAGTCCTTGACCCGGAACGTTTAGACCAAGACCTGCGACTCAGACAGGAAGTTCTTAAACCTCTCAGAAGAACGAAGAGGTTGGAGGAAGTGGGCGTTACCTCGCCGGCGAAGAAGACTTTTCCCTGAACGTCTTCAGCCAGGACGTCGTAGGCCTCGCCACTGCCCCCCGTCCTCACAAAGCTGTAGGACATCTGGGACCACACGTCTTTGCTCCAATGTGTGACGAAAAAGCTCACAGGCTCTGGGACTTCCTGTCAACAACAAACAAACAACAACAACAAAAACCTTCTTTCACTGCTCAGATTTTTAACGATCGGTGAAACTAAAATCAGAGACTTTGTTTTCAGATAACGGGGATTATCCAGTCCTGTTCTAAAAGTCCCACTGAAAGACACGTGCATGGACAGACAGACTGACCCTAAAGCCTACCTGCTCTTTGAACAGTTCTCTCAGGACCCTCAGGCACTCGTCGACCACCTCTTTGTCCTCCAGGTCCTGAACAGCAGGAACAGCCTCACCGGATATGATCGACATCAACACGGCCTGTTTCCCCTGTCCACGAAACAAAAACTTTTTAATCGGACCCATCGCTGCACTGGTCCGTCCTCTGGTTCTGGACTCAGGTCTCGGGGGCAGCATCTGGATCAGGGAAGTCCACAGCCACCTCTTCCAGCACTTCTGGAGGACTCTGAGGAGTTCCCAGACCAGCAGAGAGACTGTCTCTCCAGCGTGTCCTGGGTCTTCCTCGGGATATCCTCTCAGTTGGACATGTCCAGATGTCTGAACCTCCTCGTCTCCTCTGGATGTGGAGGAGCGGAGGTTCTACTCCGAGTCTCTCCTGATAATTGAACTTCTCACCCTGTCTCTAAGGGAGAGTCCAGCTACCCTGCAGAGAACTCATTCAGACCTTGTGGATCCAGCACCTTAGGGGAGGAACATAAACCGAGCTCCTGCAGTTCAGCTCCATCTTCACCACAAAGGACCGGAACAGAGTCCATAATACTGCAGAAGCTGCACAGAATCTCCTGCTCCATTTCCTCATCACTGAGAACAAAACCCTGAGGAACCTGAGCCCCTCCACCTGAGCTCCTCCACCTGAGCCCCTCCACCTGAGCCCCTCCACCTGAGCCCCTCCACCTGAGCCCCTCCACCTGAGCTCCTCCACCTGAGCCCCTCCACCTGAGC